AAAAAACAAGACGCCGCATGAGAAGACTAGCGGTGATTATTCAAAACTAACTCTTTTTTTTTGAGATTCTGATGTATTGCTCTGCTAGCAATAAAGTTATTACAATCTTAAATTGTCCTTGATCTCTTATGAAAGCTCCATTGGAGGAAAGGTTACTTTATTTTTTAAACTAACTTTTCACATTTACGAGCCCAGAAAAAGGAGGAAACCTGATAACAGCAAGTGGGTTGGAGTAAAACTGCAGTGGTAGTTGGGTGTGAATTTCTGTAGCAGACTGTGAAGTCTGAACGACAAGGCAATTACTTGTCCTGTGAATAGTAGACACTAGTTACAAGTATTTGACTTTACTTTGGGGGCACCTGATGCTACAAAGTCCACAAGTGCAAGCGCATACTCATCGTTCAGTTGTATTGATCCATTGCCAATAGGCCATTGCCATTGCCTGCGTTTTTATTACCCATCCTTTAAACAAATATTTACTGAAACCTACCACACAGTTGGTGGATGATAGCCAGGCTGACAGTCTTGTTTCTGATTCTCTATCCTTTGTTTTCTATCAGTTGAGTCAACAATGTTGTGATGTGAAAAAACAATAGCACAAAAGGCATCTTGTCATGAGTGTACAAGAGTACGTGGTTATAGTAGTGCTTCTGATGCAAACAAGCTTGCGTGCAACTACAAAATGTAGCCGGCAAAGAAAATAACAAGGGAAGGAAACAGCACTGCAATCAGACAGCTGCATAAACCTGTGTTTCCCCTGACAGAGAGAAGTAGGTGCTCTGTTTCAGGATGTAACAACAGACAAAAATAATGAGTGACAAAACTTGGGACAATCACACGCCAAACTTTTCTGTAGGATATATATATATATATATATATAAATAAATAGCACTACATCAGCTATACAAACAGATAGGCAGTGAGTTATGGCACTTTTCCTCACTGTCTAGACTGCACTTGCTGTTATGTCAGCTGAGAGATACAACACATGGAAAGCATTCCAAATGTAGCAACAGCTGAGTGAAGATGCAGAGCAAGAAGACGCATTAGCTCGACCACACAAGCTAAAATCCCTGTCAATATCTGGGTGGGAGCCTCCAGCTGTCATTCCTATGTTGGACAGTGGAGAGGCTGGGGTGTGGCAATGCAAACTTTGAATCCCAGCAAAGTTTAAAATCCCTGTGAGATGACCTCAGCTTTCCCATGACCATATAAAGATCATATTTTATCCTGTTCAGCTTTAAGTAGATAGTTACTTGAATCTATATGCAAACAAGGAAGCTTCCTTTAACATGATAACCAAAGACTAGACAGAAATAAGTGAGGTTCATTACATTGGCTCTTCCATGTCCCAGTTTTCTTTCGCTGTTGATTATAGGCTTCACAATACTAAATGCTCACATTTCCATGAGAAACTTGGAATAATAAAATGGGTCTCTCTAACCACTTTCAAGTGTGTGAATTGTCACAACACAAAATCTATACTTGAGTGGCTATAAGTGCTAGGGCGACTGTGGCTGTGAGGGAGTGTGGTCGTCTTTCAACCAGAAGGTTGTGGGTTCGATCCCAGCCCATGCAGTCAACATGTCGATGTATCCTTGGGCAAGATACTTAACCCTGAGTTGCTCCCGATGGCATGGCCAACGGTGTGTGAATGTGTGTGAATGTTAGGTCCTAGAGTAAGGTACACTGCTCTGTATGAATGGGTGTGAATGGGTGAATGACATGTAGTATGTAAAGCGCTTTGAGGGGTCTTAAAGACTGGATAAAGCGCTATATAAGTACAGTCCATTTATATCCTTTTTTCTACAGCACAAACGTTTGGAAAGATGAATCCACCATAGTTACGCCTATAAAGGACATGAATTATTGAGAACCTTCAAGTTGTTTGATTGGGAATTATAGAGTGAGAGATGTTTTGAAGTTTGATGGTGTTACTTCAGCTTCTTAAAACTTTCCACTCAATAGCACTGTAATGAGCCAGGATAACAGGCTATTGTTTCAGCGCCTCTTCTGACTTGAAACCACTGATCAAAAATATCTTCAATCATGTCACTATAAGATAAGGATGACTGAAAGCACAGGGAGACAGAAATATAATGAAGGAGCATGAGGGAGAAACAAGGTGCTTTCAAAAGTGATTAAAACACTGGTCTTCATCTATTTCTGTATGGAGTCTTGAACTGTGTATAACATCAAACTGTGCAAGCTAGCAGTGTACTGTATTCTTTTTATTCCAATACATTTATATTATTATTCTGTGGAAATGCAGATTAATTACATATTGATTTGAAAAGTCTGCTATTATTGTGATTTTCATCACAATAATAAATAACACAAAAATGAATGCTGGCAGGATGCATGTTTAAAGCCTGCCGAAATATTTTCATACGCTACAAAAATTAATGAAAAGTAATGCATTGAAGAAAAAAGTATTTTTCTTCTACTGTTACACAGGGGTTTGATTTTAAGCTGAATTATGACATGAAGATGCAACTGTCAGCCTGATTCTGTGTATATTGGTTATATATTAGATGTGCTTTGAATACAAAGGACACACCCCAGTTTTGCCACCCTGCATGAATTATTTATAACATCTTTCCTATATTCACAACCAGCCATCTGACAAAGGTTTCGCAAATGCATTCATAACGAGTTCAGATACGTGTGAACAGGGTGAAAACAGCACCTGGTTTACTTAGTAGGCAGAGAAAATCGAGATGTATATAAAACATGACATCATGACAAATACGAAAATAACTGAGGGTGGCAGAATGTGCATCTTGTTAGCCATAAGCTTTAAAATCTTCTCTGTACAAAATCTGCTCTGAGACCAGCTTATAAACCGGACCAGTGGCAGCTCATCTGAACCCAGGCACCTGGAGGCTGCTCTCCTGTCAGCCCAGTAAATGGAAACCACTCAGGCATTTCACAGTTAAACCAGCCATCCTTGCACATATTACATTTCAATTTAGTTATATAAACTGTGGGACGTCTTGGGTACTTTAGATTGGCACCCCGTTTCAAACTCACTCTTACAAAAACAGTAGCAATCCCCCCAAAAAGCACCACACAAGCATCTTTTTCACTCTGCGGGGGTGGCTAATAAACATTCCTTCCTTCAGGCAACTCTTTTATATTCTTTATACCATATACCCCGGTGCCACAAATAAGCACGCACGCGCACCCATCAACACCTGGTTGCAAAGTCAGCAGCGGATATAACCCCAATATAAGATTTGCCTCCCAAAAAACGAAGCACCTCTGGGTTTAACAATGACTGATACAGCTGTCATCCACCCTTATTTTATTCTTCCTTCTGAACAAATGCATGTGCCAGCCGATTGATGAGGCAGAATCTGACAAATGAAAGACCCAAGCACATGTCATTGACACAGCTGCTTGTACGTAAACACTAAGAGTGGGATAAACAATTGATATGCATGATTGGATTATGTGTCCTTCCATAAAACACTTTAAATCTGTATATGCTCTCTAGTCAGATCAGCCTTTTGCCATTGTGATTTACTGTAATGGTGTTGGTGTGTTGATGGCAAATGGACATTCTGCTGTATGCGTAACATCAGAAGTCTTGTTCTGTCTGAGCAACAGTCCAGCCCCAAGCAAAGTCAGTGAACTACCATGAGAGACTTGATTTGAGAAGCCACAGAGCCAGAACATTTTGTCATCTTGCCTTCCATAACGACTTCATTATCAAAGAAATTGCCAATATATTTTCTGTCAATCCACTAATTTGTCTGCTCTGGAGGATCCCTTTGCAGCATATCACAAAGGAGAATTGCCAGCCTAATGCATCACCAGTAATGCTGGCAATATTTCATAACAGCATTAGAAAGTATCCTGAGTCCTCTTGTGGTTTGTGCCAGTGATCCAAACACTCCACATAAAACCACTCTTTTCTAACACATGAAATGTCCTTCACCACCTCAAACTGCATCCCGTTTAACCACATGACTCATGGTTATTATGCAATATGAAAACCCTCCGTTTTCCAGCCTACACAGAGATTAGGTCTGAATTGTTAGTGTGTGCACTGTGCAGTCTTATCTACTGTACATGGAACAATGCACCTCACGTTTTATTCGGGAAAACACATTTGTAGCCCCCAGTCCCAGTGAGAGTGAATTCTGATGTGGGGAAAGGGGACGTGAGGAAGGCAAGACGCTGACTGGTAATCCTCTTGGCCGAGGGGGGGCCTCCAGTGGGCTGACTTCCACTCCCACTCACGCCCCCCTTCAGCACTGACAGGCCTCCCCATCCAGGAACAGAAAGGCCATCTGGTGTTTGTTTGGGACAGTTCACAGGCAGGATGTACTGTGCTTATGAGTGTGTCAGCAATCATGCCTGTATGAGTGTTTATGTGTGTGTAATAGGCTTTGGGCAACATGCTTGAACTCGCATTTGTCTGTGAAAGCCAATAAATTGCAGGTGAGTTACAAATGTGTGAGGACCGAACACACAGTGGATTTGCCCTGAGGGATTACTGTACAACAACTAATACTGAGTGTCTTCACACCCCCTGGATGACTTCATAGCCTGGGGTGTTGGTTATGTGTGACCCAGGAGTGTCTATGATGTGAGTGTATACATAATCAGTACTGGAGGTGTGTGAATACACTTTATGCGTGGATGACTGCTATTTGACTACAGGCAATAGCAGGTTGTCTACAAGAACAGATCATGAACACAGGAGGTCAGACTGTATAGGGTTAATCTGTGTGACTGGAAGTCCAAATATCACATTAACCTAGTTCAACACACACACACACACAGCTGTTCACAGGCATCTGTCATTATTGCAGTGATTATCGATGTAGTCTACTTCCACCTGACTCACGATGATGACTAGTAGGTTAGTTGATCCCCCAACTGAATAGAACAGTAGCCTACATTTGTCATACAGGTGTGCCTCTTTTATCTAGCAGAGAGTGGAAATTCACAGTAGAGATGAAGACTGAAAGCTTCTTTAGATTACTTACCAAGCAGCGCACAGGCAAAAAGGAGCGCACCGGTTGCCATTGTTTGTTGCCCCGCAGATCCACTTGTAATATTCCCTTCAGATGAGGAAGGGGGTGTCTGGTCGGGTTTGACAGTGTGGTTAACCGCTGGTCCTGAATCGTAAATAAGATCTACGAATCCCGGGTGACAAACACGGCTGGGGCTTGTCCTGAGAGTCAAATCCACAACCAGTTAGTCCGTCGGGTTGCCAGCGTCCGACTCACCTCTCCGGTGTCCTCCTGATTTAAAAAGGGGAAAAAAGCTGGGGTGAAGCTTCCCCCTCACCTATCTTCCTTTTTATCACTGACGGCTTGTGCGTATGGCAGGCGCCTGGGCGACCCAACCCACTCCCGGTTTACTACGCATCCGAGACTGCGGAGGCGATTCACACGCGCAGCCCCCTCGGAAATAAAAGACGAAAGTCCAGCGTGACTTGTGCGTATTTGCACAACCTGACTAGACAAGAGGCTAAAATGTGTACACAGGGGATCGGAGAGAGTGCTGCCGGTGTGGAGGCAAGCTGGAATAAGTCCTTGCTATGATTTTCCTCCCCTTCGTTGATGGGAGAGCAAATCCTATCTGGCTCTGGCTTTCTCCACGGCAAATCCCGGAGACTATAATCAATCTCCCACTATCGCTCCGCAGAAAGCCCAATGGGCGGGCGCTCTAGATGAATCAGACAAGGCTTTGTGCTCTGACACAATAAATGAGATTAATCAATGCGCACTCTAACCCCTAACATTGGGTTCTTAATTGTACTACCAATACACCTGAGCCAGTGTGTCCTAATTCAAAGCACGAAAATGCGCAAAAAAAATTGCAAGATGTCTTAACAGCCATAAAAAAAAGCTGGTTCCAACACTAATTATAATCTGTCTTAAATGCTGTGATCTGGTCCCAGACAGAAACAGTCCACTGCGTTTTCTTCTTCCAAGGTTATTTCCCTGCTTCCGGCTTGGCAAATCACTTTTGTTTGCCTGAGCAGTTTGAAAACTTAGCAGCGTGCTGTCTGCCCCCACCCCCTTTCAAAGACCACGCCCCGGCCGTGTGGGACACCGTCCGCTGTGGGAGAGAGGCATAGGGGAGAAGCCACATTTGCATTTCTGAATTTAAATTCTAGGCCAGGTCGTTGGTGGTTTGAATAGGTTAAGCGAAGTGGATTGTAATTTAGCCTCTAAAGATACCAATTTTCTCATCGTTTTATTCTGCAGGGTAAAGTTTAACCAGCGTTTGACTTTAATAATTATGGCACTAAAATTGCACTATTCTCCACATAAAAATTGCATAATGATTGGGTCTTCCAAATGAAATATAAACACATCCATTTTATAAATCATTTATGGTGTTTACTTTTTTTATGCTGATCACCAATATCACCTTCTCATGCATAATTAACCCAGAAGTGTGTTATGGACAAACAATTTCCATCTCTCACACACACACACACACACACAACTGGCAATCAGCATAATAAGGTGCCACACTGCTTGGTAACTGTAGGGAATATCCGCACAAACTTTTTTTTCACATTCAGCACATTATAGTTCACCTTTCAGAGAATGCAAATTAGAAAATCAATCCCTCTTTGATTCAAATCATAAGCCAAACCAAGCATTACTTTGGAATATGCAGTTCATTATTGATTAGGACGACTCAATATTAGGAGTATCTCAAAATAGACAGGGTGTAAGAAGTTTGAAGGGAAAAATAAAGTAGCACTTTGAGAAAATACTGGTTTGGTGGGAAGTTGAAGTGAATGTAAGAGTGTTGGAAATGCCATAAATATAGACTACAAACCAAAGCTCCCTTTTTGTATTATATAAATAAATTAGCAGGCTTTTGCATGTGCATACAAAAGAAGTAATTGCAATGGACCCATCTGGCATTGTCTTTATCAACTGTGGATCGTTTCGAACACTGCCTGAATACAGCATGAACAACCTTTTTTGGAAGCAGTAAAATTACTTTTCCCCCTCTATTGTGCTGATGGACTTTAGCTTGGATAAAACTTGGTGAAATGTGTCTGAGCCATAAAGAACTTAGAAAGATGTTTACACAATATGGTATGTTATTGAACTGTAAGCTCACATCTGAAAAACAGTTGAACAAACTGTTAAATGAAATAAAGATCTATTATAACCCTCACTTTGTTTTTTTCTGTATCATATTAACAGATAAGAGAGGACACTTTTAGCATGTTTGTATACAGAAAAGGCTAGCAGACATTGCTGCCAACCAAATGTAAGTCAGAAGGATATTATTCACTTGTATGAAGCATGTGGGCTATTGTTTCATCTTCTCTAAAGGTCTATTCAGGTCCAACGCAGCTGAATTAATACAGAGCAGGCTAGGTAGGCCATGTGCATTACACCTGGTCTACATATTGCTGCACCTAAATTTAGCTCAGTCCTCCATAGATTCCTTATCACCTGGACGAGAGATGGCACAGTTCGCTCAGGCAGGCAGCTAAAGGAAAACTGTAATGTTGTTTGAGCGCAGCATCATGACATCACTGAAGAGGAGATCACCTTTGACCCCTCACGCCAGTTTTGGCAACTAGTCATAAGGTTGTTTGCTTGGAGGAGAAAATGCTTTAGAGGAATGTTTGCAAGTATAGTGGGTGCTGGGGATCACAATAGGTCTCCATGGAAACAGAGAAGTCTGCACTGTGTGCACTCCATAACAGTGTCCATCAAAGGTGTTGATAGCGAAAGCCGTTTTCTTATTCTTTCGTCATTGTACCTCACTTTTTAAGGGCCACTTATTCATAAAAAAACTAATAAATCTTAATATTTCAGTACCCTAACAGCACAAGTCCTGATGAGCTCATGTCAGCAATGTTAAAGAGAAAGGTTAAGGAGAAAGAGAGAGATTTGTTCACTTAATTCATCATACACACATTTTCATAGTATGTCCCCAATGTATATGAATTATAGATTTGATATATCTGTTCATTTCTCTCCACTCTCACATGTCAGTTTACACTGGAGTATGTGGAGGCAGTTCATAGACAAGCATACACACATTCATATTCAAATGCATACGTTAATGCAAATCTGCCCACATGGCAGTGTCACATCAAACTAGACATGACATGTGCAAGTGAAAACATATGTACCAAACAAACATGGAATCACGTGGAACCTGCTTTGTTGAAGAATCACAACAGAGCTCAGCTGCACAGAGAACACAATGTGCCTTGTTACACAAATCGTCTCTGAAACAAAGTAGAAACTATAAATAAGTAAACAAAAGCTTTTTGTTCTGATAGAGTCAAAAAGCACTATAAAAAAAAACATTTAAAATTCCTTCTGGTAATATTTATTCTAAGAGGCTTCCCTCAAACTATTGGGGGGAAAAAAGGCAGAGAGGGATTGGGAAATAATCTAGATGGGTGAAGATAAGCAAATAACAGCGTAAAACAAATATAATGTTGCAATATGTGCTTTACCTGAATAAAACATAGGTACAGGTTGTAAGGTAGAACATAGAAAGGTGTGGGCATTGCTTATGCGGAGAACCACTACTTGCAATCCATCAACAAGTATGGACACATTCACAATCCTAACGTTTCTCCTAATACAAACACATGTGGCAGGTATGCTTCTGCTAGAGCACCATGGCTGCATGCAGTGTATGGTCACAGGTACCAGCCTGACATATTGTCATACCTTATATGCTGTGGGTTTTGACAGTCAGCAGACTGACAGACAGCAGGCAGAAGGCAACTCTCCAGCTGGGACCAACCATATTTAAGAGTGCAACCCTTCTATCTAGGATTTAATGTGAGCTGAGTCACTGCACAGTCAAAGTAATACTCTCCAATTTCTCACGCCACACTTCACATTGGCTCAGATGATTGCACACTGCATTGTCAGACAACCTTTGAGTAAAGCTGAGGCTGATGCAGTCAGAGATGTAATTTTGACTTTACGTTACAAACCAAGTGTTACCATTTTGTTTAAAGCTAAGAAATCAGTTATTCAAACGTACAGCCCTGCGTACCAGAACTTATGGTGTACACATTCATACCTGCAGTCAGAGCTTTTACATTGCATTAGCCTGCCAGCAGCACAAATCGCTATATTTTTTAACAGATTAATTATTCATTTATGGGCTCTTAATGTAGAGTATTAATATGAAATTACTTTTTTTTTTTACCTTTTATCTGTCAGTGTCCTTTTCCATCCTTCACTTATGATAGCCCTTTTCTATCTCTTTGTCATTTCTGTGCTTAATGCACTCAGACTTCTTTTCGCTCCACATGAAAGCTCTGTTTGAAATGATTGCTTAAAAATTATATGTACAGTACATAAGTGTTTGTCTGAATCTGAATGCATGTTCATTTTTGTAAGTGCACACATGTGTTTGCACAGTAACGTTTTATTATTCATTGTTTAAGAATAACTTTTCAGTAGACCCCTAGTTTACATGCATGTAAACAGGGGCAGAGGATTCCAATAGCAAACAAGTTATGCAGTAATTACTATACTTTAGCAAAATGGTCCTCCTCTCTCCTTCTACCTATGCAGGTGGTGGTGCCAACACTGAATTATGTTTATTTAAATCTCTCTTTGTTCTCAAATTATAGCAAAGCTGACATTGCAACAACCACACAAAGCACCACATGCAACGTGTGTTATCATTAGCTGGCATGTGGTTTTAAGATATATCCTATATATTTAGTTCTTCTAAATGAGTACTTTGGATGAATGTGACAATTAAAGGCTTTTGAATGCAGTGAACAAGCGTGTGAACATCTGAGCTACATTCAATCCTTTTGCCCAACACTGTATTACTTTAGTTGTTAATATACAGACAGTGTCAGCAGCAAAGCCACCAGGCCACACTGAATAACAAAACAAGTCAGATACGATTATAGCTTGTTTTTGGCAGCGGTGTGGATAAAATCCTCCTGTGTCATGAAGAAGGACAGCTGTGTGCACTTGTTCTTTCGTTGCATGAGGCAGAACTAATTATCTTGGATCTTCATTAAAACATTTTTTAGCAAGGTTCACACAATTGTGTTGCATAAATCTCCCCTTCTTTTCGTCTGTCTGTCTTTCTTTCTCATTGTGATTATATGGGTGTTGCCAACCTGCAAACACAGCTGAATGTCATGCATTATTCATTTGTCATGTACTGGACAAAGTGAAATGCAAAAGCATGCGGAAGCACACATGCGGACACTGTATTCGCAGGGAATAGCTCATCAAGCCAAGGGGTATCAAGGTGAGCTTAGAGACACTGTGAACATTGTTCAACTTTAGGCCCAAAAACACAAACTACATTACACAACATGCAAATTTCATCATCATCCCTCGCAGGCACAGGCTTGTCCTTTTCTGCTGCTGGGTAACAACAACAAAGCAGATGCTATCTATCAACTACAGACTGGAACATAATTTAGTTTTCATGGTCACACTTACTGAAGCTTTTGCTTTGTGTTTGCACGTAGAACAAGGAAACAAATTCTCACCACACACCCCTATAAAAATGTCATACAGGGGGCAGTAAGAGGAAGTATGTAGGCAGAAATAAGCATTTGGAGGCACAGCCAAAACACCATTGGATTACTGAATCATAGCATTTCCTCAACATGTAAACAAATATGGGAACTGCTTGTTAAATTGTATAAATCTTACTATAATAGATAGTGTTAATCCCTTACTTTTACATTGTGTCACTAGAAATTTTGATTAATTGAACTAATAAACTGAAGATGACGACATTATTTTAGTCGGTTGCAGTACAGGTTCATTTTACTGAGGTGGCAGTGAAGTGTAGAGAAATGATAGGGTAGTTTAAATGCACTAGTTAGGGATTTCAGAGGTTTGTTATACTTCCCTTTTATACTAACACTCAAACAGTTATTATCCAAGCTGGGTTCCCAATGCTGCTGACACATGCTAAACACAAGTCTGACACTGCTTAACATCGTATGAAAGGTATTCAA